TTAATTTTTTAGACACATTTTTCTGCTCAGTTAACTTTATGTTATAGTTGTTAAGGGGGGGGGGAGCTCAAGGGGGGAATTTACACTTAAAAATGAACAATTGTTTGTAAACTAGAAGATTCAGGATTGATTTGATGAGCTTCGCAAACTAAAGTGAATTGCTTGTAAAAACGAAATCATGTTTTCTCTTATTGAAGATCTATTAAGAAGAAGAATATGTTCTGAATTTTTCATATTTGTGGTAAATAAACACTCAAGGAGCCACGATAAATGAACACTATAATACAGGGTGTCCCAATAAACATGGGAATTCAGTGACGAATTTGATATCGTCTTTTTAAATAATTTTTTGATTTTGTATTGTGATACCTACTGAGAAAGCTGTAATCTGTAAGGGTTTCGTCTGCTATGTTCACATTTTGTTTGTTTATAATTGACTGCAGTATACGAAAATTGCAGTAATAGTATACAAACAGAGTAAACTTGTCCGTCTTCACTGTTCATCTTCCGGAGACATTATAGACACACCTTTACAGTCTTTTACCTTTTTCATAAAATAAACTGTAGCAGACATAATAATATTATGGCTTTTGAAATTAGGTATTACAATGCTAATTCATAACAAAGATGATATCCACGGAATTCCCATGTTTTTTGGGACACCCTGTATCAAAAAATGTGCGTAATATTCTACCTTGAGAAGTGTTTAATTCTTATAATTTTCTCCTAATGAATTTGTAATACGGGGAAATCTGCATTTAATTTTTGTCAACAGTCATAATTAGATCATACAAAGCAAGGATGTGATGCACGGAAAGTTATTTCAGAAGTGTACGCATCTTTTGTACTGAAGTGTACTGTCTCTGGGCGGTAATGTAAACACTAGACGGATGTTAAAGCCTGACATGGGATTCATCTTTCACATAAAAAAATCAATAAAATATTCTGATCATAGGAAACTATTATGTGAATTATCAAAATTATCAAAATTTAATGCTTTTAACCTCCTCGGATAATAAAAGAACACTGATCCATCTATTCTTGTTTACAAATTCCACCCAAAGAGTTTCAATATGTACGCAGAGTATACGCAACTGCAATTAACTTTCATTGCATTACACCCTTGATACAAAGCATTTACGGGTACCGTTGTGAATCAAACATGCCAACCACTTGAAAATGGAGGGTCACCGAAAATAACGTCTCAAGTCCCTTCAGATATAATTTACACAGAGCTGCTGAGTTTGTGTGAATTTGTTTTTAATATATTATAAATTGTAAGTTGTATAATAATATAAGTTGTAGGTATTGATAAATTCCATAATATTGAATGTATATTGTAAACTGTAATGAATTGGGTGATCTAAACGTCAGCAGAGCACAACTCTAGATAGATCACCTCACAGATATATACGGATAGATAGATACATGCATTCAGGATAGATAGATGGATGGATGGATAGATGGATAGATAGATGTACAATGGATGACCACACAGACTGTTATTGGAAATTAAATGAACTAATTTCATTATTCAGAGAATTCGGCGAGATATATCTGATTTTCTTTTTCATTCATCATCATTCTTCATCATTCATCTTCTTCATCTTCTTCTTATTCTTCTTCTTCTTCTTCTTCTTCTTCTTCTTCTTCTTCTTCTTCTTCTTCTTCTTCTTCTTCTTCTTCTTGAAAAAATTCTTATCAAATTATTTTTTTAAATTTTCCAAATTTAGCTAAATAAATTAGTTACATTTTAACTCTTTTTTTCTCAATTTATAATCACATTGAATTTAAGGAGTTTAGTCTTTGCCACAAATGCAAATTTGCTAATCCCTATAAATTTGAAACCCGATGGTGAAAACCTTACATATTTCTAACTCGTATTATGAAATGACTGCAACCCTCTGAGGGGTGGGGGTAAATGATTGAGTTTTATCGCCTCCAGCCTCCCTCGCAAAAATGTAAAGAGAATTATTTCCCAAACATGACAAGCTGGGGGGTGGGAGGGGGAAAATGTGCTGCCTAATTTTGGATTTTTACACATTTCATAAACATCTTTCTTTATAGGGAACATTCCCGCATGTGATTTTTTTTCTTAATCTTCTTGGAAAGAAAATTAATAATGGGCTATATCCCCATTCCTAATCTGACACTGCACACTGCACACACACAGACACAAAACAAAAATAATATTTACACATTTTAAAAATTTAGAAGTCCCTCTTCCCCAGAGAAGAAAATAAGTTATGCAGTAAACTTTAGGTCAGTCTCCAGAAAAAAGGGTGGGGGGTCAAAATATAATCTTGACCCCCCCCCCCCCTGTTACATAATATCCTCTGTTTATGCCTTCTCTAGAACCATAATTATTAGATTTTTGTCATCCAGTTAATCAAATATGTCCAAATATTTAGTTACAGTGATAACCCGAAAACATTGAAATAGAAAGACGACATTATAGCTATACTTAAGCGTTTTGATGTTGTTACAAAGCAAATATTTTGATCAGTATTCTTCTTATTTTTTTATGTAAGTACATATTTTTATCATTTTGCTATTTTAAATCGCACTACAGGCCAATTATCTTCAAAATTCACGAGTTTATGATTTTTACGTAACAAAATCAAGTTTTGATCCTTATTCCTATCCCTGCAGATTATGCGTTAGGCTTTTTATCCTAAAAATATATGCCTTAACGGCCTTAATTATACTTTTAACAAGTTTTATTGAGAATTCTCCGCCCTCTGTCCCTATAACTAAAACTTCAAAGTTGCTCTATGGCATATATGGCATATATATATATACATCATTAATGTACCCCTCCCACCCCTGTGACCCCGTCGCATGTTTCTAAGTAGAGCACAGTAAGACTAAGAAGTGAAGGACGCATAATTTAATTAAATTAATTTCACAATTTATTCACTATTCAGTTTTACAGCGGTGCTACGAAAACCGACCTATGTACAGTGAAACCCTTAATAACGAATACATCGAAAGAATTCATCAAATGTCGTATTCTTCACTTTCTGATAATGGAAGGTTGCAGATATTTAGTTTTTTAATTAAATGATTATATGGAACTCTTCAAAACTGTTCCCGCATATTCATGGCTATTTATTTATTTTCGCAAATACTGAAATTTACGTAATATAGTATAAAACTCATTGAAAAGTTGTCAAGACGACATTTAATAAATTCTTCCAATGTATTCCTTATTAAGGGTTTCACTGTACCTAGGATAGCGAATGCAATCATCAGATTTAGAAAACGTTTTCTAGAAAATAAAAATTGAGCAGTTATAATAGCAATTCTTTAAATCATCTATTTGTTTAAAATTATTCTAATTTTCTATATCTCTGGCTCTGTCCTTATATTTACCTAATATACTTATAATATGTATGTTAATTGATCATGATCATGTAAATTTTTACAAATGTTACATCGTTTCATACGCAACATCCCCCCTACTGAACTTCTGACCTACTTTCAGACATACTGCAATATCGGTCCTACGCCAGTTGTTGATTTTTGTAAATTTGAGGGTTAGGCAAGGTTAAGACAATTTCTGGGCCTCGAGCGCTGCGGATAGGATAGGTTGGGGCCGAGCGCCGCGGCTAGGACAGGCTAGGGTTTCCGGGCGCTGAGGCCACAAGTCCATCTAGCAGCTGTAAAACCACGTGCTAGTTGGTCGGATGTGCAGTATAGTAGATTTGGCGTAAGTCAGAAGTGAAGTATAGCGGATTTGCACAGGTCGAAAGATACATAGTATTCAAATACCAAAGACGACTTTTAGTTTGGTCGCGCTCATATTCGGTCTGCAACGGAATCTGCATTTATCAATGCCTTCTAGAACGGAATGTGAGACGGAGCTTACTACAGCCTACTAAGGGGAAAGTCACCCAAATATAGCTTTGCAGACTAAAATTGGGACTTTGCCAAAAACAGGGCATATGTGTGTTATATTTTCCTTTATATGGAAAATATTATATTTTAGTTAAGTTGTGAGTCTAACGATCAAATACAGTTGTATAGTCGCTGTTTTATGAATTGTTCTTATGTTAAGGGGCGTATCTTTAAACTGCAGATAAACCCCTCCCAACTTATTTTATATCAGTCATTACTGTAACTTTACTGTAACTTTCAGTACTTTGAGTGTAGCTTGATAAAGGGTTAGGACTAATAATTTTGTCAAAAATATTGCCTGTATGGGGTTTTGGGTTGGTTTGGTTAAAATTTTGGGTCTGTCCTAGTATATGATTTTTGGACCCCCAAAAATTGATAGGAGGGGGGGGGGGGGCTCCAAAAATCGTATACTAGGAAATTACCAAAATTTTGACATCTTAAATGTTTTTGAGTTTTTAAGAAGTTTTACAATAATTCGAGCATGTTTACAAATTATTCTTAGAGTTTTAGACTTTTCAGATCAAAACAATAGCAAGCTTTTACCGAATTTATGGTTTATAGGATTAGACTTGCAGAATTCCATCTGAAAGATTTTGGACACCTCCCGCCTATCACTTTTGTATATGTTATCATATGTGAAACATGGGGCCTATAGTTTTAGACGTGATTGCGTGGCCGCAGCGCCCGGTCTCCTAGCCGTGGCGCTCGGCCATGCACGTAGCCTATCTTAGCCTCAGCGCTCGGCCCCCCAGTTTGTCCTAGCCGTGAAATACTCGGCCCAGAAATCGTTTAAATGATACAAAATTAATATTCATAACTTCGATTAAAAAAGTTGAAATTTGAGATCATGTAAAAAATTGATATAAGGTTGGGAGGTAATCGTTCTGTAGAAAAGACTCTAAAAGTTTTTAAATATTAAAGTCATTGCCAGCAAAGTCAAACAATTTTATAACATTTAGTTTGACAAAATTAAAGGAATATGAACATGCATTTCATTCAAAGAATGACTAAAATATATCCCCCTCTGATCTATGATATCACATTCATTTGTTATTTCATAAGAATATATAAAATAAATGTTAAAATATATTTATTTTCTAGAATATATATAAATATCAAAATGCAAGACCCTAATGAAGATACAGAATGGAATGATGTCCTACGAGCCAAAGGAATTCTACCACCAAAAGAGAAAAAGGTTTTTGAACATAAATTAATAATAAAAATTAATATTATCTTGATGTTTTGCAGTTAAAAAAAAAGCATATAAGATGGTTGACCTATTTTTATAAAGCGGCAATATAAACGGAGAGAAATTTTAAAACTTTATTCTTAAGAATGTTCTTAATTTTTGAAACGTTCTAAAAATTCCAATTAAAAACCACGAACCATCATTATGAACATGATGAAATGAAACGCAGTATAATTCCAAACCAGTTATTGGTTAAAAATGTTTCCACTGGTATTTCAAATTCAGAAAACAAATTAAAAAGATTTTAACCGTAAAATTTAGCATCCAGGGTTTAAAAGCTATTTCCCGTTAAATTTGTCATGTCAAAAAGATTGATTATGATTTATTCAGTTATGTGTTTAAAGGGAATGTTGGAAAATATTTTTTTATCGAGTATCATAAATAATAATAAATTTAGTTTAAATCCCATGAAAAAGTTTGAATTATATAATGTGTAGGATATCACTGAGGATGATATTGTGAGCATGTCGGAGGAAAAAGTTTGAATTCTATAATGTATAGGATATCACTGAGGATGATAGTGTGAGCATGTCGGAGGAAAAAGTTTGAATTATATAATTTATAGGATACCACTGAGGATGATATTGTGAGCATGTCGGAGGAAACAGTTTGAATTATATAATTTATAGGATATCACTGAGGATGATTTTGTGAGCATGTCGGAGGAAAAAGTTTGAATTATATAATGTATAGGATATCACTGAGGATGATATTGTGAGCATGTTGGAGGCAACTATTCAGAAAAAATCAGGAGGTGGGCATTTTCATTTTAGATATATTTTCTCATTTTGTTAACGTTTTTTTATGTTGTCATTTTTAAGATTTCTGTTTTTTTGCGGAAAATTTGTTAGAGATATATGTTTGCAAAAAGCGGCAAACATTTTTTTATCACTTGTGAAGATCATTAATTTTTTTGCGGAAAATGCAAGTTTTATCAAAATTGCATGAAATATTTCCTTTCTATGTTAAAACTATTTGTTTGCGCGAATCGGAAAATCACAGGATAGGTTTTTGACAATTTAAAGATTCATACATTTTTTGAGAAAATACTAATTTATAAAAAACTTTAAATTTGAGCAATGCTGATTCTTGATTGATTGCTTGGATGATTGATTTATTGATTGATTGATCTAGGAAAGGCTCTGGAAGATATGGACCTGGATGAGTTGGATGAATTAGAAGATGAAGAAGAGGAAAAAATTCTTTTACAGATCAGGTATTTGCCTATCCATCTAATATGACGCGTGTGTCAGGGCTACAGAAAACCACCCCTCACGCAGATCCCGTTTTTATACGATTGTATTTATAGTGGTTCTTATTAAACTATGGAATAGGAAGACGAGATATGATTCTAAACAGTCCAATGAGCATTGAAACATAAGATATCACAAAGATTACTAATTTGTCGCCTTCATATTCCATTATTTTATGGGTCTCACTCTTGCTTATCTAGAATTCATGGTTTAAAAAAATAAGGAATTTAGATCCCCATAGCCCACGCTAAAAAATATTTTTTTAGTTTCCAACAGGGCTAAATATTAGCAATTTGATCAAGCATTTAATTCAGAAGCCAAACCTATAAAAAAAATACCAAGAAAACTATCAATAACATGCTAGGACTTCCAATTTTCTTCTTTCCCCCTGTCTCGGGGGGGGGGGGGTAATTTTGTAAAATAAATGTCCCTCACTTTTATAATTGAAGGCAGCAGCGGATGGCTGAGATGAAAGCAAGGATGTCCAAGGCTAAGTTTGGTGAGGTTCGTGAGATAACAGCCGTTGATTATGTACAGGAGGTTAACAAGGCGGGAGAGGGAATATTTGTTGTTCTGCATCTATACAAACAGGTTGGTACACATGCTGTACACTGTACACTTTATAATTTTTTAAATATTCATGATTTACAAGTTGTTTTCGAATAAGTGCGCATATATTTTTTAGAAATCATTTCCCCCATCCGCGAAAATATCACACACAAGAAAAAGAGTATAAGAAAAGAGGGAAAACAATTACAGCTGAAAAAATTCTTTGTCCCCCCCCCCCCATCCCTCAAAAAATCTTGGAAAACATCTCCCACCGTGTAAATCTACAAAATGTACACTCCTGAGGAAGTAAAATTGTAATGTAAGAAATAAAAGAAAAATTTTCTTAATATTTTCTATTGTACAGGGAGTTCCCTTGTGTTCCTTGTTAAATGAGTATATGAACCGTCTAGCCGTCAGGTTCCCGGAGGTCAAATTTCTCAGGTAATACTTTTATAGGCTGATACGTTGATATATTGATCTGTTGATATATTAATATGTTGATACCTTGGTACCTTGGTACCTTGGTATATTGATATCTTGATACCTTGATACCTTGATACCTTGATACCTTGATACCTTGATACCTTGATACCTTGATACCTTGATACCTTGATATCGTGATACCTTGATACCTTGATACCTTGATACCTTGATACCTTGATATCTTAATACCTTGATACCTTGATACCTTGATATCTTGATACCTTGATACCTTGATACCTTGATATCTTGATACCTTGATATTTTGATACCTTGATACCTTGATATCTTGATACCTTGATACCTTGATATCTTGATACCTTGATATCTTGATACCTTGATATCTTGATACCTTGATATCTTGATACCTTGATACCTTGATACCTTGATACCTTGATACCTTGATATCTTGATAGTTTCTCCGACAAGGTCCTGTATCTCCTGTATCTCTTGTTTCTCCTTTATCAAGCAAGAAATTTAATTTTAACTTAAGTTTTTCTTCAGGGCAATATCTACGACGTGTATACCTAACTATCCAGATAAAAATCTACCAACTATATTCGTATATCACGAGGTAAATAAATATAGATTTAATACATTATTTACATAAGATAGAACATTTGCAAGATCATTTTTTCCCGAAGTAGATAAAATTTTACTTTGCATTTTCAATACCGCCGTAAAACGGTTTCAAATTGATTTTATATGATGCTTCTTTAGAGAGAAAAAAAAACTTTGGTGAAATCGTTTTTTCTGGCTAATCGAAAGATCCCATATGTCAGATATCGAGTTCTTGTAATAATTTCAACTAAAAAAAATTTTAAACTAACTTGCTACTCTTTTAGGGCGCTTCGCGCTCATCTTCTTTTTGTGAACATTTAGTCTTTGTATACATTGTAAAACAAAAACAAACAAAGTTTGCGGATATTCTAAAAAAGTTCATGGATTTTTTAAATTTAATGGAAATCAAACTTTGTTGGAGGCTAATTTTGAAACTTTGGTCATTCATAAACCTTAGCTGGGACCATGTTAGGTCCCACACAAAATTTAGGCCCGATCGGTTCAGCCGTGTTGACGTTTATTGGATACAAACAGGCAAGCAGAGTATGTATATAGATTGAGAGCAATTATAACTCTGATAATTTGACTCTGTCTAACAGAAACAAGGCTTAGAACATAATATTATGCAAGACAGAAGATCCTTATGTTTTGGGCAGTTGCCCGAGGAATTTACGTGCACTTGCCGCGTTGAATTACAAGAGAGAGATTAGTATATAGTTTAGGGATAGGTTAGGTTAAGACACTTTCCGGGCCGAGCGCTTCGGCTAGGCGCACGTAACTTTCTTGGGCTTCTGCCCATTTTTTGACACAAATGAGAGACTTTTAAATGAGTTCAAGGCTTTTTAGGTCTCCCAGTATTGCTTGATTTACTTCACAGAACAAGAACTCCATTCCTAATTTTTAATCATTGAAAAATATATTGTTCAGATGAAAAAGCAATATACGAAGAGGATTGCCTGCTGTCTGAGTCTATAACAAAAAAGAGGAAACTAGAAAAATATTCTTGTGATAAATGTGAGTTTACTGCTATGTTTCCAAGTAAGCTGAAGGAACATATTGGAAGGAAACACGAGGGAGTGAGATATCCTTGTAATAAGTGTGAGTACTCTGCAACTGCAGTTGCAGATCTGAAAAGACACGTTGCGAATAAACATGAAGGGGTGAGATATCCTTGTGATAAATGTGAGTTCACCACACGTACAGAAAATNTTCAAAGATATTTTCTTTTATTGCGCGCGCGCGCGGACATTTAAGCCTTTGGGGTTGAATTTTTTTAGCGCATATTTGTTTCAAGAGTGTCAGGAAAAATTTTCAAGTGCAATTAATGAAGTTAACATTGATTTACTGTCAAAAAAGTCGTATTTTTTCTCAAAAAGCGCGCGCGCGCGCGCACTTTTGCTCAGATTCCTTCAAAACCAAAAAATGCACATAATATACATAATTCTGAGTTTGCATGCAAAAAATCAGCCTTCTACGACAATTCTAAGTTATGTTTAACCACTGTTTAAATTTTCCGGAGAGTAATACGTTTTGTGCCCCCCCCCCTTTATATATAGATTTGAAGTACTGAGTTTTTTAAAATAGCTCTACACTCAAATCATATTAAAATAATAGGATACTTTTTAATCAAATATCTATAATCTATTGTTTAGGGCAGCCTAATTGTCCCCTGTTACTCCTTGAACCTATTAATAAGTTATTTTTTGTTCAGGGTACCCTAAAGGGTCAGTTAGTTGGTCCCCTTGAGTTCCGTGGGATGAACCTGACTGAGAAAGAGTTTGAATATCTGCTGGGTAAAACTGGAGCTATCGAAACATCCATCAAGGAGGATCCGAAACCTAAGGTTGTAAATAAAGTAACACAGATTTTTAAAAAACAAAAGTAGTTTAAAGTGTTTATATTTGTACCTCTGAAAGTGACTGTAAGTCTAATTTCATTAGATATATATTTATCATTAAAATATTTAAGTTTACATAGTTTGTTATATATAAGTTTACATAGTTTTGTAACTTTTTTTAACAAACACTTGATTTGATGATGGTATTAATATACATTGGCCGTCTTTAACAAAAGTAGTTCCTTGCCTTCAAAAAATTAATTTTCCCCACTATATCAGGATTTTTTGGACATCATTTGTTGAAATTAGAAAATAATTGTTTTATGAAAAATAATTGAATTTTTGCGAAAAAAGTCATCGAAAAGAGTAGAAAATACAAGTAGAATACATAGAATACATTTAGAAAAAAGTTTTTTATTAGCAAATCTCGAAAAGATAATTTCCGCTATTAAATAAAAATTTACATACCCTTTTTACTTAAGAAATACGTTAAAACACACTTTGATCTAAAAAAATCCGAGGTAACATTTTTTAAACAATATTTGTTTAGGTGAAGGATGTATTGATGAGCTCGTTACGAGGAGGTCGGGATGAAGACGACCTTAGTGACGAGGGAGACTGGTGAGCTCAACGCCTGTTCTGACCTCAATGCCTTCTTCTGCCAACTTTTGATATATTGTATTCCAATAATTTTGTACATCCAGTAATATCTGACCAGTTTTCTTTTATATTATTAATAATAAGTTTGAATTAAGTTGTTGCTTTTCTTTAAAATGAAAGGTCGAGAATAGACGTAATCTCTAGTGACCCTCCATGTACGATTCACCGACAAAAGGTCAAACGACACAGGGTCAAACGACAAAGGGTCAAATGACAAAGGGTAAAAAGTGCGACAAAGGGTCAAACGACAAAAGGTCAAAATGATAAAAATATCTTTTGATTTGAATCAACCCTCCTATCAATTTTGTACATGGATCTTATATGTTAGACATGGATATAATTGACCATGTAGCCGCAGTGCTCGGCCCAGAAAGTGTCTTAACTAAACTAACCCGTGGCCGCAGCGCTCGGCCCCCTAGCCTGTCCTAGCCGCAGCGCTCGGCCCAGAAAGTGTCTTGACCTAACCCTAAATAATAATAAATAAATACTAACTGTAACAGTTGTCAAAATAAAAAAAAAATTCCCCTTTCCATTTTTTGACCCTTTGTCGCGCTTTTGACCTAGTGTCGTTAGACCCTTTGTCGTTTGACCCTGTGTCGTTTGACCCTTTGTCGGTGAACCCCATGTACAATTGACAACTTAATTGTTTAAATCTACATGGGTGTCCAAAATCATTTAGGATCGTTTATGGCTCTAAATTACGATTTTCGGAACAAATCAGATAAAGTTAAAGGCATGAATCTTTTTAAAAAATCATTCAAGTCAAATACAAAGATTCTCGTACAGATAACCCTAGGTTTTTCGAGTATTATAATGAATTCAGCGTTAAATCTTACAGATAATCCAATATGATGTCTCATCAAGAATGAATGATATATATATATTCTTATTTTTCAGTTCGAAAATCGATCATTTTTAATTGTGAGTTCTCTGTAGAAGTGACGTAGAATTACGTTTCAGTGGAAATAAAGAAAAATTGCCAGAATTCAACAAACATAGAAAATATTTCTTTTAGTTACTCAGATAGAGGATTAAAGAGCATCGTTGTGAAACGGACATGTTGGTCTGTAAACTCATTTTATTATGTTCACAGAGGTCGAATTTAAAGAATTTGAGACTAGGCTTAAATATGGATGGTTCCACTTAAAATTGTATTCAAAGTTTCAAGAATTTATCCGGCGCTCAATTGAAACCGGTTACTTCCGGATTTGAAACGCGGCTCAAATTCAACAAATTCGGACTCAGTCCATACAGTTAGCATGAAGAGTCGGTATTGCGAGTTAGAACTTTGTGCAAAAACCCGTATTCCAGAATTTTGGGATTTGTCCAACTAATTTAGTACCGTCATCCCATATATCCCATCCCATCACTTAATCAAAAATTGATTATCGATTAAATTGAATCTTCTCGCTGTTGTTCAAACGGATTTGAAAGGGGATGATTGGCCTGTACTTATGCCGTTTATTATTAAATAAAAAAATTCAACAATATTAATATTAAAGTACAAAATTTCTATTAAAATATTGTTGATTTAATAAAGTTGGTTCCGATTTTTTTAAAATGGGTCTGTAATCATCATCATTCCTGTTGCAGGAGATAAATATATAAATAGAAGTACTAAGCAAGGTCTTAATAAAGCTGTTAAAAGAAAATACTAATAAGTGTTCCCCTAGAAGCTATATATAACTAGGGGTGACATGCTAAAAAGTTTAAGGAACTATCCGTAAAAATAGTATCTGTTTAGTGTAGTTGTCTAGGGTAGAATAATTCGTAGTTTAGTTGAAGAATGTCTCTACAGAACAGCATCTTATATCAGGAAGAAACAGTAGAAGTAATTTCAAGTAATAATTCAATTTCACGTCAGATTAACAACGGTACCCTTTACACTTCTTGTTGTTATTAAGGATGACGGAAATATCGACTTATTTTTTATCCGCAGAATCTCTTATTAGACAGCAACGTTGTATCTCGTAGAAAAATAAATATAAGAAAAAAGTGTTTCTCTGTGAAATTGCATGCCACACTATAAATGGAGGTTCACTTGAAATTACGTCTACAGTTCCCTTACAGATTAATTTTAAATCGCATCCTAGGCAACTTTATGTGGTTTTTAAGTCTAATTATATTCACTCTCTGAAAAAACATAAATTCCTTTATTATCTCAACTCTTAAATTATTTTGTTAAAAAGATTGATTTTAATATTCAAAGTCCAAAACTTATAATTTACTTTTTATAATTTCTTAAAATATTAACAATAACCAACACCAAAAAACGATTTGCCTAAAATAAGTATAAACATAATTCACTAGGTTTTAAATTTAAAAAAAAACTGCAGAATAGAAATATTATGTGAGCAAAATTCAGGCAATTAAGGCATATCGTACTTTTTATATAAAAATATGCAAAATATAGGATTACAAATGGAGATTGGACATATTCGGATCATATCAAAATAGAATATCTTCTAAATTCATCGCTGTGTCTTCTGCAGAAAAAAGAGCTGGAAGGTCGTCTTCTATTTAAAGATCTTCCCCTGGTTGAATTTCCTGCCCTTGGCGTCAACTCCTTCCCACTTCCAGAACTGGTTTACCATCGTCTTAGTTTCCGCAGACTACAATCAATTAATCAATTGAAAGATTAATTAATCAACAGAAAACACATCAATTAACGAACTAAACAACCAATTAAAGGCAAAGAGAATAGAATATATATTAGAGTGGAATTTAGAAAATCACTCGGTATGAATTTTGTCAGTCCCTTTCAGCCTGAAAGGGAGTTCAAAGTGTTTAAGAGTACATTAATACAGTATGTTCCCTAGACTATCCATTTCAATTTCCAATTTTTAAAGCTGCTAAATAATCTTTATAAAATGAATTTGGTGAATAAAAAACATAATTTGATTTATAGTTATAACGGAAAATCATCGTTTGTAATATGAAAGGCATAGTGAAATGATCATTGGTCAATTATGAAACCAGTCTATTTCATAATTTGGTTTTCTTTAAATATTAATTTTATATTTTATATAAAATGATGTTCCAGGGCCCAAAAGGTTGTAAAGCACAAATATGTGAAGTACACCTGCAGTATGGAAAAAGTACAACAAAAGTGAGTTTTACACTTTTTTCTAGTAAATTCCCCTCTAATATATATTCTATTCTCTATGATTATTGTCCATACAACCGACTAGGATCAAAACCATCAATTAACGCACTGAAGAATCAAATAACGGACTAATTAACCTTAAAAAAAAAAATTAACGGAATAAACAACCAATTAATTTATGGACCAAGCAAAATTATTACCAGACTTTATAATTACAATTAACACACATCCAAAGATTAAAACAAACAAAATTGAATATGAAAGATCATGAATAATAATTCAAGCAAAATAAATGAAAATATGACAAATGTACCTTAGGATCTAGCTTGCTCCACTGATAGCTGGCATAATCAATTTGCCAGTCTTCAGATAATTCAAAGGCCAAGTTCTGTCCCTTCCAAACCCAGATAGCTGAATTTAAAAAAATCATAAGTTTTATTATTTTAGAAATTTAAATTTAGTAGACTATAGTTTTTTATATCATTGGTGTCATATCAATTGGACTATCGTTCTTTCAGAATAATGTTCAAAAGGAATATAGTCCTTTTGAACGAACATTTGTTCTATTGAACTAGTTTTTCAATTTTTTTATTAAATTATTATTAAATTAAAGTTTTTAGACTTTTTACATAAAAAAACATATCTTATCTTAATATTTGAGGGTAAAGTTTAGTACGACCATTTCTGGGCCGAGCGCTGCGGCTAGAAAGTGCTAGAAAGTCGAGCGCCGGGGAAAGGATGTGCTAAGGGACCGAGCACCCCGACTAGGACAGGCTAACATAATGTGATGACAATTGTGACCTGCAATAGAACTGTTGTTGTTCTCCCCAAAGAGCATGGCAGAGGCGAAGGCGTTCTTGTTCATCTTTTCCAGACGCTGGAACATACCTCCCATCAGGTTACAGGACATAAACACCTGGCTCAACTCATCATTGTACCTTAACAAATAATAAAAATAATAAAAATGACAATGACAATGACAATGACAATGACAATGCCAGTGCCAGTGCCAGTGCCAGTGACAATGACAATGACAATGACAATGACAATGACAATGACAATGACAATGACAATGACAATGACAAAGACAAAGACAAAGACAAAGACAAATGACAATGACAATGACAATGACAATGACAATGACAATGACAATGACAATGACAATGACAATGACAATGACAATGACAAAGACAAAGACAAAGACAAAGACAAAGACAAAGAAAATGACAATGACAATGGCAAAGACAAAGACAAAGATAATGACAATGAAAACAATCCAACCATCATTTCGTAGAAATCAAGGTCGAGTCCTCTTCAAAAATAACCGCAGAAGGCCCAACATCAATTTCCAGTTGATAATTGACACAAGTGACATATAGACAAGACAATCCCCTAATCCCTACCTGTAATCACCTAATCCCTACCTGTAATCCCCTAATCCCTCTACCTATAATCCCCTAATCCCTCTACCTGTAATCCCCTTATCACCACCTGTAATACCCTAATCCCTACCTGTAATCCCCTAATCCCTACCTGTAATCACCTAATCCCTCTACCTGTAATCCCCTAATCCCTCTACCTGTAATCCCCTTATCACCACCTGTAATCCCCTAATCCCTACCTGTAATTCCCTTATCCCTACCTGTAATCCCCTCTCCAAATAGAATAGTTTTCAGGATCAAATTTCTCCCAGAAATATTCACAGCTCTTCTCCTCATCATTATTAGAGTAAAACCGCTTCCAGTCCTAAATAATACAGTATTTATAACAATATAACAAGATATATTGATAATGTAATATGCAAAATATTACGATAAAAATAACAGTGCCATATTAATAACAAAAAAAACAATATGAAAACAATTCACTCACACAATAATAAAATAATACCCAGTCAACCATTAAAAGCAAATGAAAAATAACAATAAAAAATCAAAAAATTTAAACCCAAACTAATTAGGAAACTTGATCATAAAAAAGATGGCTGCTCCAATTTAAAAATTGCGGTAAATGTTACCTCCATGTCAAAGGTTCCCTTTGGGAGAGCATCCAATGGGTCCTTCTTCTTCTCAGGCATTGGTTCTAGAAATATATATGGGTCATTCCATGTCAAGTCAGCCACCTGATGGACGGCATGTCACAGATTTTGCTGAAATTTTGCATACAATTTGGGATATGAAAAAAAATCTCAGAACCCGAAGATGAGCGTTCTGAGACCTCCGAGGCCGGAGATATGGCTCCGGAAAGTTTCCGATAATTCGAGATTTCGAGGCCGGCCTCTATATTTCAAATGGCTCTAACTTCTTTGTTTTAAAAGATAGCTCCAAAATTTTTTCAGTTTTGAATAGGTAATCACAAGCCCGTTATTTGGTGTTAAATGAAAAATATCATTAAAATATTATTTACAGGTCATAATTGCATTTCTTTATTTTCAGCCTCCGTTTGAGGATGTGTACCAATTCCGATTGTGTTGATTTTTTTTATATATTTTTATACTGCCATAAGGAAGGGATTAGAAAAGTTTTTTTTTATATGTATTTGTTCCTGTTGAGGAGGAGAACTGATAATGTAATGCTAATTTAGATTTCTTAATGTAACTAATAGGTAGTATTTCTGCTTAATTATTGTTATCTCTCCTAAACATTGATAAATATTTAATATTTGATACTTTTATGTGAGTAAGTGATCTAAATTATAATAAGAGAC